AATTTAGACACATAAGTCTGTGCAATGTTAGCTACAAGATACTTTCTAAAATTTTGGTTGTAAAATTAAATCTTTTCCCAGACCGACTTATTAGTCCTAATCAAAGTAGTTTCATTTCAGGGAGACAAACAACTGATAATGTTATAATTACACAAAAGATAATTCACAATTTGAAAAGGAAAAGAGATAAGGTATGAGGTGGGGTTATTAAATGAATAGAGTAACTCGAGATCGGCTCATTTTTATCTCACTCAAGCTCTCTCATATTACAAACTGAGGCGGATCTGAACAAATTTTTAGGTTTGGATATAGAGTCGAGCCAAGCCAAGCCCAAGCTATTCGTGAGCCAACTCATTTTGTTCAATTGTACAACAGATATTCGTAAATTGTTAAGAATGTCAAGATTACTATTAAATCATATTTGTAATTGAGTAACTTTGTGGAGTCAATTGTAAAATCTAAACATATTTCATGGTTAAGGTGCTATCAAGTTCAAGATTCGAAAGTGTCTTTGAAGGAGGAAATCAAGCATCAAAGTAATATCATTCAACCTCCGTATGTACCTTTATACTTAGAACAAAGGTAATGACCTAGACACCAAAGATGAACCCTTATTTATTTTAACTTAAGTTGATTAGGATGAAAATGAAATGGGAAGCAACCCGATTATGACTCTTAGGTGATTTTAAAAGAAAAAAATTTCTAAACCATTTATGAGTATGAAAAATATACTTTGAGTCACAATCGAATCCCTCTTTGAGCAACACAACACCACTCAATGCTCAAGAGGACAAGTTTTTGCATAATTTTATGCTTCAAAAATCTATAGAGACCGATCTATACTCGCTAGAATGGTCTCTTTATGACTTAGGGAAAGAAATGAGAAAAAGTCACGAAAGGCAATACAGGGCTCGCTCTATAAGATCTCTCGAGCGATCTTCATGGTCGCCCGAGCAATGCATATAGTCGCTCGAGTAGTGTTTGTCTTAGTCGTGCTTGAAATGTTGTTTTCACTCCAGAGATAACGATCTTATGACTGTCCTCTCACCGATTGAGCGATCGTTCACGAATCTGAGTTTTCTTATTTACTCAGACTACCCTTATTCTATACTTTTATATAGGGAGAGCTTTTCTCACATCTAAGTTAAGCTTCTAATGAGATTTTCAAGAGAGAAAACTATATTTCCACCTTAAGAGCTTTTACAACAACCTAAATCCCTAAGAGTGACACTCCCACAAAAAAATAAGTAATTACATATGATATCACTCTATTGAAATGATATTAAATTTTTAATTAAGTTTTTTACTAAGCATGTTACTATTTTTTTGTTGAACATGTTACTGTCTGATATTACTATTTTAATACTATCACAATTCTCAAATTAAGAGTTTTTATATTTAAAAATATTGAAACTAACAATGATAGACAATATTTATCACAGGAGTAATTACGTAACACAAAAAAAAAGAATTTGATATATGTACTTAATGACAATAATTTAATAAAAATGAGAACTTAATAGAATATAAGTGTGACTATGATAATTAAAGTCAAATATTCTAAAAAATATAACCACGGATAAATATCTGTTAAAAGCAATGTACACCTACTTGGTTACATACATTTTTTTAATAATCGAATCAAAACTAAGTGGGACCTGGCATTTCTTGGGCCTCACTTGGTCTACATTGTTGTTTCATTTACTCTCTCTCCCCTCTTCCTTTTAATTTGACATTTCTTAGATGTGTCCTTAAGTGGCCCTCGAAGTTATTGGGCCTCTCTTGGCCCACATTGTTGTGTCCTCTACTCTCTTACCCACTTGGTAATGTCGCTCCAAATTATTTCAATACTCAGAAATTTGGGTGTTGTGAATTTATTAGCCACCAAAGGGAGCTCGAATAAATTTTATTTCGGAGTATTGTTTCGATCGCTTACAAAACAAAAATAGTCGCTTCATGTTGAAATTAAATTATCATGATCTTACGTCGTATGTATCTCTTTGTTAAAATTCAGCTAAGATAGATTAATGAAATTATATAATAAAGTAAAAAGCAATTCAATATAAAGAATGACTTTTAATTTTTGCAGTCCAGATTTGTCCAAATTTCTTATCCAATGGCTAAGATTAGGTTGAGAAAAAAAAAATTTCCTGCCCAAACACTTTCCATTTCCACACGCGTCAATCATGCCCCCCATAGCCTTTGTTTAAGGTATAATCTATATAATAAAGGAAAACGATTTTAATTCAAGAGACAAAGAGCAGCTCAGATCGTTTCATAACCAAAAAAGTTATAATTCAACGGATGACGTTATCTCAAACTGTCTCATGCTATTAACGTCTCAGATCATTTTGATCCGACGTACCATATTAGCTCTTGAAAATTTTTTGCCACTCAAAACTTTTTCTTTTCTAAAAACTAACATTCCTAAATTTAATTCTCCAACCCAATCAAATGCGACAATTAAACGATTTCTCATTCCTCAACTTTGTCTCTCTCTCCCTAAAATACATATTACAACTCTTATCATTATTTCTCTGATTTTATTTCTTATGTTAAGGGATCACTTTCTATACTGGGATATTGATTTTCCCTCACACTCTCATCTTTCATGATTCTCTTTCCAAACTGAGACACATGTCTCCCTAAAATTATATCCTAATGTAGCTGTTCTCCATCTTTACTGTTCATATCACACACACATCTTTATTGTACAAATATATAGTACACAAATCGAAGACATATTATATCTACATGTTATATCTTAGGAAAAGTTTCATCTAAACACCATGTAGTTGAGTTTAAATTTAATAACAACCCCTATAACAATAAATTTTGTCTCTATCAGTAGCTAAAATAATGATTTAACTAAATATTTGATAGAAATATTAAAATTACTCTTTATTATGTAAATAGACTAAAATGTCATCAATTTTTTCTCCATTATATATGCGTTAGCCAGCCAACAAACGTAATTTCAATCGTTATATTATTTCAATGATTTTTTTTTTAAAACGTCGTATTATAACTTTGTTATAATATTAGTCATCATCATATATCACTCATTTGGTTACATAATCAAGTTTTTATAATTTTTAAATTTTTTTATCTTAATAATTTTTATAGTTAAAAATGATTTTTTTATAATAAAATTATAATTGATAAAGTCAATGTCAAAATCTCATTCATTTCTAATTCCTCTGTTATCATATGTTCTTATATCTATACAAATCTATTTAATAAAACACACAGAAAGTTGAATTTTATCCCTATATATTTCTCATCCCTTAAAACCATCACATCACTCATTTCTATCGCATATTCAACCATTTAATATTTGATTAATTTATAATTTAACATAATTTTTATTTCAAATATTATCAATAGTATAGATCTGTTAAAAAAAATTATGAAATTACATATTTTGAGAAAATTTTGTCAATATTTTGAAGAACATAATGGATAAAAATAAATTATGAATGATTTAATCAAACAAATGAAATAACGAAAAAATATTATTTAATATAGTAATATCGATTTTTTAGAACTCAAATTTTTTGTTCTATCGTGCCTTCAGGCACGGGTTATGACTAATGTTAAATATGTAATTAGAAATTGCTTTTTAAAGTACAATGTTAAAATATGTAAATTGTATATACATGTTCAATTTTTTTTGTTATGTTTTTAGAGGTAATTTTGTCCATTTTTCATATATTCATCGGCTCTATTTATTTATTTATTATTATTATTATGTGCATCGTTTTTTTCTCTTGGCAATGCTCAACTTTTTTATTTTTTTTTTATCGCCTAATGTCTTCAAATACGAGTAATAACTAATCTATAAAATAAAGTAGTTTACAATTCAAATATCAAAATATAAACAAAATAATTTTTGCTATTCGCAGTTGAGATCGCTTTAAATTTTATTTTAAAATTAATCTAACGATTAATATTAATACCCTAAATTTAATAAAAAAAATATATCTCTAAGAGTGCGTTTGGAATGACTTTTTAAAAGTACTTTTAGAAATTATTTCTCATAAATACTTTAAAGAAAATAGTGTTTGAAACAGCCCCACCACTACCTCTACCCCCACCACCCCCCCCCCCCCACCACCACCATCGCCCCCCCGCCACCACCGTCGTCGCCACCATCACCATCACCATCACCGTCACCACCACCACTATCGCCGCCGTCGCTGCCACCATCATCGTCGCCCTTGCCGCCACCACGGTCATTGTCACCCACCACAATTATCACCGTCTCCTACCACCACCACTGCCGCCCATCACCTCTCACTCCAATACAAATCGATGCTTAAATTCTTTTATCTCTTCTTTATGTTTGTGATTTGATTTTGGATATGAATACAAATATATTTATTGTTCACCATTTTTTATTACTTTATGTCTTCAAGCACAGACAATAACTAGTATATTTTTATGATGTCATACATGATTTGTGTGATAAGATTACAATAGCTTAGTTATTTGTTTTCCCTATGCTCATCCCTAATATTTTTAAGGGAATAAGCACATAGAGAAAGAGAACTTATTCCTTAGTCATCATGATTTCCTGCCATTTGCTGCTTGGATGTTTTAGGCTTGGATTTTTTTTTTGGTTTGGTGTCCTAGAGATACGTTCAGATCATCTTCTTGAGCATTAATTAAGATTAAAAAGGCCGTTGCTTTTGATAAGGAACTCAGTCATGCTTCCTTGTTCCTTAGTGTAGTCTTGGCCTATACATTAAGACTCCGTTCTTTATAGTCTAGTCTATTTCCACAGCTAACCTGATTCCCTACCGAAGCCTTTTCCTTTGTACACGGCTAAGTAAAAGACTACCATACATGCCTTTTGCCAGCAAACTACCCTCGCCTACATCATTTATAGGCATTTTTTTCTATCCGCCCGTGAGCGAGATCAGATTGACTACTCTATTACTATGATGCCGAATGTCTTTTCTTCACTTCAGTTGGACGGAAAATGAATAACTTATTCATAATCTTAAGAGGCCCTGCCACGCTTCATTTAATTGGATGAAGGGCAGTGCAACTCACAGCACTACCATCTATGAAAAGCTAGAAATTCAATTGAGAACAAAGGTGTCATATAGTACATGCTTCTTCCTAAGACAAATATCTCTCAGAATATAGATACCTGAAAATCAGTAAGCCCTCTATGCCAATGCTTCACACACGAGAACTTAAACGTAACTTTCCAGACACCATGTATAGAACATTTTGCTTCCATCACTACTCAAACTTGGAACACCCCTAGAACATAATCCAACAAAAATTGCAGACCTTTCTTAACCACATTTTGTAGAGCAAAATGAGGAAAGACAGAATGTAGTTTAAATGATTCAGACTACTATTCACACTTGATCGACCCATAGATGTAACGAATGAAGACTAAAGATGCACGAAAGCCCACGGTCCCAAGCATGAGAAATATACCATAGCAGATGCAAGCCATGTAACCAAAGAAGAAGGAACTTTGCAGGAGGCCATTCATAGCTGTTCGTGTGAAGTAATAATAAAAGCAGTAGCCGTAGATAAACAAGCCAGTTGATCCACCGCAAAGAAAAGACCTGCATTGATTGAAGCACTTGCATTAGTCAAACACTAACAACAGCATTTGGTATCACAGTTCTACATATTGAGCTAGTAGGCTAAGAAAAAACTCTGATGAGATACTGTATGCACTATCTGCATGCAATTCGCACCACTAAGCAACATCCAAAAGACTCGGGACAATAAAAATCGTCAACCAGTAGTTCTTAAACATGGACAGACAAAACCCTATCCACATGTACAATACATTTATCTTATTCAGGAAAAAGAAAGGACTTGAACAGCATCCATGTTTTTGAGTCAAACATCAAACAATAAACTTAGATGAAAATGAAATTTCAGATGCATAACTGAGAGACATAAGAGACAGAGTTATATGTATTAAATACTTGCACATAGGCCAGATATGTGCAGAATAGAGAAGAAAGGAGAAAACAAGGAGAGCTAAAGCGTAAGTGCAAAACAAGTTGTCAGAGATTTAGAAATAGGAAACTATATAACAGTGGCACAAAAGTATAAGTCAATGAGATTTTTTGTTTTCAGGAAAAAGAAAAAGGCAAGAAAACTACTCCACCTCCACCACCATTCATGATCTTCAGCAGCAAGCAGAAAATATGTCAAAGCCAAAGCCACAAAAGCAGTCACAACCAGAAGAAGAACAAAGACAATGCACAAGATACCATATGTTGAGTAAACCCGATGACCCCAAATGCTGGCAAATATATAGTATATCTCGCGGTAGATAACACCAAAAGGAAGAACGCCTGCCAATGCCATCTGAGGAAGAAGGCCCCTGTACCAACGCAGTGTTGGAATCTCTCTGGGACATTTACTGGTGCGGCAGGGGGCCTGAAACTCAGACTTACTGTTTTTTCCAGCAATGCCGCCCAGCAAAAGCAAAGGTGATGCTAAAAATATCCATATGAGAAATATTAAAGCAATAGTACCCAGAGGAAGTGCTGCAGTTACCCTGAAAGCCATTGCAACAGTATTAAGGAAGCAGAATGTAACGAATAGAGGCCCAGAAAATATGCATCCTACAAACAGCAGACTCCCCACCTGTCAACCCAAAAAACGAGTGACCTCATTAGTACGCAAAGTCCGTTATAAAAATAGATACCCAAGTTATAAACCTGTTTTAAAACCAAAATTAATTGTATATTGACCACTTCAGCACATACCCAGTTTGGTCCTTCAAGCTGACAATAGAAAGAAACCGCAGTATAACCAGCTATCACAGATGTAATTGCATATATGACCACTAGTGCAGTTAACAAACGACCTCGGTTGTATGGATAGAATATGCCAGCCAGTCCTAGAATGAGAACGAATACCATACTGCAAATGCATAAATTGAAAAGAAAAATACAAATTAGATGCCACTTGATTTGAAAATGGCTGAATACAGCTTCACATCTCTTGGCAAAATAGTTTTGGGAAGATACTAACAGAGTAAAGAACTGGGTGCCAGAACCTATAGCGGCAGCAAATAGGGACTTATGCTTTGGATACCGAAACACATCGCCATGGATGTATTTCCATCCAGTCTCTTCTTGGTTGTCAGATAATTCCTCATCTTGTGCATATCTTTCAAGTAATAGAATGAAGCAAATGAATAATACATGATGAAAAGAAAATGCCATGAATGTTCAAATGAATACTGATCTATATTTATAAATGTTTCTTACTTCATAATATCTTTCTTAAGGACTCGTATGTAAAAGGTCACAAAACAGCCAACTAATAGGACAATGGTCACACATGAGTTCATAATCGCAAACCAATGAATTTCCAAGTGATGAGGCAGTGTCGAAGATAATGAGTATCTCTCCATTCTTTTCTCAAAAGGAATTTGTATTTCTTTCCAGTTCACAGTGTACATGAACTCAACGTCAACTTCCTTGTCCTCTGATATGTCCACAAAGAACTGAGGGTCTGTTCTAACAGCGACCTCAATCACACGGTCCTTGTTGAAAAAAATATGAAAATGCAAATGTTTGAAAAGCAAATATTTGTACTGGATTTGTTCAACTACACCACCATAGTCAGTCTTTCCAATGAAAGCCCATATTGGTAAGTCATCAAAGTACATTTGAATGAAATAATCCTTTACAACTGCATTTCGAAACCGAGATACTTCTTCCTTTGTTAGCATCTTTCTGCATGCCACTTGAGAATATTTGTCTACTAGAAAGTCGATCTTATATGGAGCAGAAACCAATCGATCCCCATTCAACACCTCACCAAGAGTTTCCTTCTTCTCTTTCACAGGGTCTGTCATTAGATCAACTTAAAAATTTTAAAACATATATAAGGAGCAATTAAATTTGAAATATAGGTAGAGATGAAAACCTGGTGAACAGAAGGGCAAGTCAAAAAATGCATATGTTTCGCTGGAATCAGAAATAGTCAAGAGAACACAAAATTAGCAATCAAAGGCAATAAGTCACCCAATGAAAGTCGTCAAACAAGGTAAGAGCCACATAAAGCTCTAGGAAATTTCGCTATGAACTCTAAGTGGACAATCAAATCAATACACTAGACAGAACTGAAACGGAAATTCCGCCACATACATCAAATTCCCAAGTATGCAATATCTAGCATATAAATAAAAATGAATATGGGATAACAAAACCATAATAGGGATATTATGGCCTAGTATATGAAGAAACACTTTCAGAGATCCAGACATGATTTCAACATTCATATCTGTAACTGTGAACCACTGAATACAATCTTTAATCATTTATTTTATTATTAATAAACAAGAAAGTAAATTTCAAATGAACAAAGAACTGGGATAGAACTAACATCAATAACTGCAAACTTTCTGATTGACTGGAAACCAACACCAAATACTTGAATGTATAAGCATGCATTGAATGACCGATCAAGAAATTTACCTAGGGTTGTGGAACGGGCCCACCTTGTTGGCATATAGAGGGACTGGATCCCCAGCTTTGTAGTGATGATCAGATGCATCTGATCTCACTTCACTTCCAAGACACATTATGAGAACAGCAACAACAAGAAATGTTGCCACTAATCCGGTCATTTCCCTCAGCTTTTGGAGCAAGAGATAACTGAAATAAAACGGAGAAGTAAATACACAAAATAGTAGACAGGATTAAAGAACCGAATTGCAGATTCACAAAAGTTAAGTGTTTGATGCCGAATCTGGCTTCTACTTTCTACTACAGTCACATAAATTAAGTTTCTAAGTATCTGAGGTCATGTTGTTTTCTTTTTAAACTTTCATGATCTAGGTCTAAGAAGTTTGTGGTCTGTAATTCAGACATGAAACTATCAGAAGTTTGGAACTTTCTGCTTTCATTTTGAAATTTGAGTGCTCATTAGCTGAGACATTGGTGATGTGAAAGGGGTAAATGTCAGAAGGGAAGTGGAGTTTACGGCATAACTTGCTTTGCTGTTAAGTGACAGTGCCAATGCTGCTGTGGTGGTCCAGGTGGAACCACGGAAAAAGTGCTGCTTTGGATAATGAGAGTGGCCGAGATGGAAGTACAAGAAGGGGAAATGAAGGTGATGGTTATCAAGGTTGTAACTGAAGCATTCAGCAACCAAAGCTCAAGGTGGAGGCAGAGGTGGAACTCGAAATATTAATTGTTTTTGCTGCCGGAAGGCTAAATCCCGGAAGCTTTTAATTTTTAAAAAATAGAATACGGTTTTTAGTGAAGATTTTTTTTTTGTTGAAGATCAATGATCTCAAAATATGGCTTTATTCCAGGCAAATAAAATTCATGACATAAGTATGCAATTTGATGAACTCCACAGTCATGCTCCCCTTCTCAGTTTCTCACCCATTGTCGTTATCTTAATTATCATTAACTATATCTGATAGGAAGGGGGCTCGCACGTGAAATGTGTGGGCAGTACCAAATAAGCAAATACATTTGGTGTCCTCTTCCACTTGTAATTACTAATATCCGCCATTTGCATAAAGCAATTGGAGAACCATATACAGGCTTTCATTTCAGGAGTATTCAACTCCCATCCCAATCAATATGGTGCATCAAACCTGCTGAATGCTTTTTTTTTTAAGACAAAATTTCGAAAACTGGTACCTAAATCAAGATCACCTGAAGACTGGGAATACAGACGGATTGTGCTTCTAGATTCTTGGAATGTTTGAATAAGCTACTCGCTCTAATGCTTTTCAATTTATTTAAGCAGCAACTTTTGAGCTAAAGAAAACTAGTTAAGTCTAAAATTTTTTGAGATTTTATATGCTGTTATTATTATCGTCACATTTTTCTTTTGCATAAGGGCAAAATTACAGGCAAACTACCCGGTTCAGCAACAAGAATAATCTCCCAAGCGATAATGTTCAACTGAGAAACAGAACACATCAACTGAAACAATAGAAATTGCATAACCTACCAATCAAATAAATTAATAAGTATCGGGGTCTATGTTCTGTGGTCATCCTCATCCACACCCACATTAATGCATTACTAGATTAAAACCTTAATGATGAAATTGCCTACGGAACATGCATGAAGAATGCTCATCTGAGGCGATTGAAAATTGCACCAGCTTCAAGCATGAGGATGAGGTATTCCGAAAGGGGATGCTCAATTTGTCAGTGACTAGCTCCTCCTCCTCCGAAAAAATTTGCGAAACTAAAGCCAAACACCCAAATCTTGTCCCAACAGGACTGATAAGGGTACCAATCCTAATTCAAGTCATAACAGCTGCGTTGACTTTCAAAACCATGACGAATAAGAAAATTGATTAGTCAAACAAATGAATTCATCCATTCATGAGAACTGGTAATATAAAGTTCAGAAACATAGCCAATACAGTATGTAAGCATTCGCATTGAGATATGCATGACCAAGAAAAGGAAAGTCAAAGAATCAAAGCAATTGCCCATGACTATTCAGAACCAAGATCATGACGAAAGCAACGCGATTCTATACAAATTATAACTGTTGGAGTTTATGAAGCACACACAAACCTGTCGATGGGTGTTCTGCTCTTGGTGCAAGACTTGACTTCCTGTTCTGTTGTTTTCTCTCCAATGTTTTGAAAGTTTTTTTTCGGTAAGTCGGGAAGAGAAGACTGAATACCGTACAAGAATAGACAGCAACTGTGGACACTCTACCGGCTGAGGGTTGACCGTTGTTGCATGAATAAACTCTAACTAAACTCTCTATTTTAATTATTCAAAATATATTTAAAAATAAATTATACTTTTACTCCTTAAACCAACACTTTTTTTTTCACTTTGTCCCCTTAATTATTAGATTTTCTCAAATTATGCAATTAGTTTCATATTACACCAATAATTAATGTCCATTATATATTTAACGAAAAATTATTTCATGTTGCCCCCAAATTATGTAATTTTTTTTCACTACAAATATTTTATGATTGGGACAATGTGACACAAAAGTATTAGTTTAGGGTGTAATGTAAAAAATCTAGTAATTGAAGGGTAAAGTTGAAAAAGGGTGACAGTTTAGGGGGTATAAGTGTAATTTATCCTATATTTAAAAGTGACTTCTACCCCTCCATTTTAATCACGCTCTCTATCTTAACTAATTATTTCACTTAACTTTCAATAATTTAAAGAGAATTGCAACATAAGTAACTTCTATAAGTTTATTCCAACCACGCTCTCTATTTTAGTTAATTACTTCACTTAACTTTGATTAACTTTCAATAATTTGAAAGGGATTACAACATATAAATAAAGAAAATTTGGAGAGGCTAAATGCCTCTCTAAATTTGGAGAACCATTTGGGTAAAATGAAAAATAAAGAGCAGGATAGAGACTAGGTTGGAAAGTTTTTCTCGTGTTTGGCTAGGAAAAATAGCTAACAAATGAGAAATAGAGTGTGTTGAAGTTACTCTAAAATATTATACACAATTAATCCCCAAATATGGTAATATTATAAATGCCCCTAAAGTGAAGTAATATTATCATTTGTGGAGTGGATATAAAAGGGTTGAGCTTAGTATGTAGTTTTATAATTGAGAGTTTAATAGGGGAATGATGGAGATTTGTAAGGTGGTGAAAATTTTGGGTTGCTGACCTGTTTGCAAAGACGTGAATAGGGCATGACCTAAAATTCTCTAATTTTTTGGGTTTGACACTTTCAATTGACGTGTTAGTGTTCCATTAGATGCCGGTAAACGTACGATTTGTGGGTCATCCGTAAATAAAATAATCTGAACAGTGAATTTTTTATATTATGACATGGGTTTCATTAGTCCAAATTATGAAAATAATCTCCCTGCCTACAGGGTAAGAGTGCATAGACTAACCATATGCCACAGTAATGGAAGGCTTGTGCACTAAGTTTTTTTTTCTTCCCAAAATGCCTTTCTAATTGACTTTTTTGTTTCAAGACTTTTGTTGTTCTAATATTTCACTTCCTCATTCTAGTTGAATCAATTTGTGATAAGTTCATGCCTAATGCTTATACTAGAATTTATCAAACAAATAACTATAAATATTTTAGGTATATACACATAATCATTAATGATATCAAGAAAAAAAAAAAGAGCCAGTTCAAATGATGAACAAGTCTGGTCGGCAATTCAAATAATGGACTGGTCAGGTGGATCATCATGTGCAAAGCTGACCTCAAAGAGTCCATACCAATGATGGAACTAAAGGCCGACCAAAATTACTAAAAGGGATAAAAGAGGAATTTCACATATAACTCCTACCTACGTCACCTTAGAAGGTTACATCAACATTTCTAAAAATTCACGTCACATCTTGAAAAAAAAGTCTCTAACAACTAAATATTCTCCAACATTTCTGTTATAAAAATAATGATTACCGTTGTATAAAGAGTAAGCCTAGACACTGCCCTAAACAAGAGAAACAACTCTCCTATATTCATCTTCTTCTTCAAGCAATACACACGTGAAAGAACAATAGCCTCCATTACATTGTACTACTCTTGTTCTTCAATAGAACGAACCACTCTAACCGTGTGCATTCTTACCTATCTTAATTTCCAACTCACACACTTAACTCGCAGCTCATCTCCCCACTCATACTTCTCGGTACTTTATACCACCAATCATCATTTACTTTTTAGGGTCTTCATCTCTTCATCCTCATTCACAATTTTTCCTGAAACTTCCATATTTTTTTAGATATCAGATTCTAGACACTAGAACTTGTCTTTAAGCTGTTGGAACTAACACGTGACACCTTCCGGCCTTCGGAGGTTCCTCTTACTCTCACTATGGGCTAGTAACGTTTTGATTCCTTTTGTTAAAGAGGAAAGAAAAATTAAAGTAATAGGAAATGATAGAAGAATATTAAAGATTCTATTGACATTTGAAAGATTATAGTGACTTTACTGACTCTCCAGATGAAAGTTTTATGCACACATTACTCTGAAACACTCAAAATAAACATTTCACATAATTATTGAACAAACACTCACACTAAAACACTTAATGTTGCAGTATGGATTAAGACAATTTTGGTATTTTATTTAAACGTGGTCAATGTTTTTCAATTAAGAAATTCTAGAAGATTTTATTATATCTTTTAATTGAATTAGGAAACTATCTTTTTTTATTTTATTTAGTTTTCTAATTTAATTAGGATTCTAGGTTTCTATTTAGTTTAGGGTTTCTACTATTATATAAATTTTTGTAAGTTTCGGGGCAAAATAATTTTTAATGAATTAATAATGTTGAAAGAATTTTTATTTTTACTCAATTCTTCTCATATTCTTAGGAATCAACATATCTATTGAAACTTTTAGGAATGACATTCTGCATAAATCAACAGGCCTAAACTAGGATTCTAAACAAGTATTTGTACGTAAATCGACAGTTTAGTTTCGTTTCGTTTCTCAACCCCCATCTTGTTTCTTGTACTGATGCTATTACACATTTTCCAGCATCACTTAGCAATGCTTTTATGATATTGCTAAGCGATACATTTTCTTATACTCGATGCTTCTTACAATGTTGGTAACCTTTTTCTATAGAAGTTGGAATTCAACTGGATCTAAAACTTGAGATTCATAATCCAGAGAAATTTTGTTTTACTGGTCCCTCTATGGACCAATTTTCATAAGATTATAAATGTTTTGTAAAGTTTCTTTGATTTTGCTATAGATGTGTCTCATTCAACAATGCCCGTGGTAGAATCATATAAATTATTAAGTGAGGACTTATGTCGGCTTCTTCGTTTGTTTCTATAAACTCATGAATGCTGACTTCAAGGCTAAATAGGAGCTAGTTGGTTATCGATGAATTTTTAACCCATCTTGTTACAATAGCTTAGAATAGATAGGTGTGATGATTTGCAACATGAGATTCACATTAGACGATGATTTAAATAATTAATTTTCGTATAGACAAAAATAAATGTCATTTTTGTTGGTGACGGTGATCTATCATTAGACTAGGGATCACATGCAATCCCAGGAGAGAAAATCAAAGTGATGCAAATACGAGAGAAATTGGCATGGTGTCGATAGGGGTGAGTAAGTATTAGATTCCATACTCAAGGCCCTCATGTACACTAGTATTCTATAAACATGCAAGACACTCATTCAAGTGAATGGACATACCCTTTGGAAAGGCTGCAACTGCTGACACAATTACAACTATTCCAAGGGTTATGTTGGTTCATATTCAAACCACTTATATTTGTCTCTCTATGATCTTTCTCCTCATGCATTGGAAAATAACCGCCAAGCATTATATTCATTCATGAGTGGCATGTTCAAGTGTGTTCACCCAATTCATGGGTCAACATCTCCCACTTGAGCGCACTTGAACATATTGGCGAAGTTTCTTACTTGGTGTTTATCCTTGGTACCAAATCATTGTCCACATCAGCTCTTATCAGTGACTACGCACAGATTGGCATCTGATCATGGCGATGGACCTACGTGTGCACGATTTTGCCATCGAGTCTGACTGTACCCTTCCACATATGCTATCATTACTGATAACATACTTCAGGTGACTTCGATTCACTCTATTACCAAGTGATCGACACCAATGCTCCGTATTATGGATCAGAAGGTCCACACCCTCAAAACCATTAACGACTTCAGCCAAATACAAATCTAACCAATGTGTTGACTTGCGCCCAAGATTTTGATCAAGTACTTCCCCTAAGGCCTATATAGAGATTTTCCTGGATACACCTTATCAACGACTTAATACACCATGCACCTTGAGTGATTATGCAGAGATCTCATGGTGCCTCAAAGTGGACTTTACACTCATGAGCATGAGATAGCCTTGGTATGCTTCCTGGTGTCCTCTACCTTTTATTCGACCAATTCTTATCCCCAATCAGTTAGAGTCCCATCTTTCTATAAATATTTGGCGTCCCCGAATTTTCTCCAAAGATGCCCTTAACCATGTAACACTACAACACCTAGGTGATCCATAATACCATTGCAGTTACATGCCCTATAAATTCCTCCAGAGACAACCTATTGGTCATAGGGTTAGCCACCATCTCTCCCGAGAGGATATAGTTGACTTTCATATCACCCCTCTCCACTATATCGTATATATAGTGATCACAATGACCACTTTGTCATAGGGATCACTATGGTCATAGGGTTAAACACTTTGTCAATGTATTTAAGAGATGGAGGATTTATTGTCACAAACACATTGACCGGCCTAATAAGTATACCATAGTTTAAACAAAGTGTTTAGCCAAACAACATTACTTACCGTTGTTCCATACACTATGCATTTTGCCTCCGTTGTTCCAAACAACTCTACTTATTGCATAACCAAGAAACACACATTCTTCCAAATAAGAATAAAAGGCTACTCGTAGATATCCAATCATCTAAACCCCATGCAAAACCTGCATCTTAAAATAGCCAATAATTCTAGATAATTTAATCCAAAACGTAATTTCATACCTTGTTTGCCTCTCACATATTCTTTTCACTGTTTGTCAATATGCCTCACCTAGATTGGACTAATATCCACACACCAATCTTACCGCATGACTAATATTAAGCCTAATTCTTGTCATAGCATACATGAGGCTAAATTATTTCTCGGGCATAGGGAACCTTCATTATTTCTCATATTTCCTCATCTGTATCAAGGCACATACTCTTTTGTTTAGACTTTGACCATTGCAAACAACAGTGTTCAAT